AGTGCTCTCAGCTTCCATTGCTTTCCACATACAGATGAAAAACTTGTCCGTCCCCCCAACCCATCTGCCTGCTGAAGTCAAGGAACAGCAACACTTTCACTTCTTTCTCTCATCTTTACATACCACTCACAAACAAACACCACCACCTTCTTCCAGCCACCATCACAATTTATGCCATGACCCCCATCAAAGTTATTCACCCTCTCTCTGCTGACAAGACATATCTATCTGCTTATCTCATTTGCCATTTTCATATGGATCTGAGACCCTACCATCCCAAGGCACCCAAGCAGACATTCCCTAATCCAAACCTGTTAGAATTTGGGAAAGAGGGGCCAAATTCAAGCTCCAGATTCAAACCTATCCTTCAGTGTTTGTTCTGGATTGGATCCAAAACTGGAGGGGGCCTATTTTCCACATGTACATTAGCTGTTGGCAAAAAAAAAAATGCACAAGAGCAGCTATTCTTACAAGATTTAAATGCAAAATGGTAGACAAATTTCACAAGATTCACCTTTGGTCCAAAATATCATGAGCTTGCCATGCAGTTAGTCCTGTTTCAGCCTGTAACCCAGATACCAAACCCTGACCTCAACCTGTTTGGGATCAGAAGTTAGAACCTGAAAATGCTTTCTTCACCCAAATCTAATTATAGCCTGGTTCCAGGTACACTTGAGCTTCATTCTAGCCTAGAGTTAACTGCCATAATGCTGCTCATTGTACAGAGGCCAGCTTGTTACTTATCCAAGTTATAGGTCGTAACTGAGGCATGTCTGTCTTTGGAGAAGAAGAGGAGACTTCACCCAGATGCAGATGCTGTCAGTAAGGCTAAGGATCCTAACCTAACACTAAGGCCTAACGATGGCTGGAGGGCATGGATGTGAGCACCGGAAAGGTTCTGAATAAGACTTAATAAGGACTAATAAGAGGTTCTGACAGGTTCTTATTAAATCAGAAGCTTTCATAAAACTGTCAATTATATGACCCAAATACAGAAAAAAGAATTCACATTTACTTCCCAATATATTTTTTCAGGGTCATACTTATATTCCCTGTCATAGAAGTGGACTTTTATACTATTAGGGCTAGACAGTGCTTAAAGCTCGATTCTCCACTAACTCCAAGCACAGCTCAGGCGGTGTGGAGAGGGGGAGCTCCAGCCCGCTTGCTATGGCTCCCTGGTTCAGGGACACATTGCCCCAGAGGAAATAAAGCTGCACAGGATCCTCCCTAACGTAGGCCACTGGCATAAGGTCACTCGTACCTTATATTAGTATTGGATCAGACCTAGCACAGCTCCACTACACTCTTTTCCACACCCTGTCCTGCCCATGCTCCGCCCCAGCACACCCCATTCCTCCTCTTACATGGAGGATGGGGGCCAGCTGATGCAGGTGGCAGCAGAATTGCCACCAACAGCTTTACAGCAGTAGAGTGTATTCTTCACAAGGTGGGATTCTTTACTGGCCGTCTCCAGCCACTCCAAAACCATTTTGCACCGCACATGCAAAGCACAGTGGCTTTAGCATACCAGAAAATCTGTCTGTTTCGGTCACAGTTCTCCTGTTCAGGAGCTGCTGCTGGTACACAGCCACTTCCTCTCCAGCCATGGCAGCACAAGCCATAACAAAGTTCTTACAACCTTTCCCTTATTTTACGTTAGTGGATTTAAATGAAAGCTAAAACAGGAGGCAAGGGGGTGAGGCAAGAGACAGAAGCTGTTCAGGTTTTAAAGTACTGTTTCCAGGGCTTACCCATCAGGCGCCACTTTAAAAAAGGTCTTTTTGTTTACATTGTAATAAACATGAGACAGTACCTCATCCATCGTTACAGTTCCTTTGGGTGGCATCAGCTTGTCATCACCATAGCAACCATCTAGCTGCAAGTATAGTGTCATATAATTTATTTTGTGATTGGGGATCTGCCCCCAACAAAGCAGGCAGAGAGACAGTCACTAAACAATTGCTCAGCTCAACAGCCACTCTTGGTGATGTCAGGCTGACATTAGGCACAGCAACAGTGATAGCCAGCAGTGTGGCAATGATGACACTACCCCAAATGCAACACTACTGCTGGCATCAGTGGATCCTGACCCCTACCATGAGACACCAATATTAACCCCTTGTAGCCCTAACCCATTTTATGTGACCAGAGCTAAACTGGAAATAAAGACCATTCTCTTTCCAGCTATCTTGTGTGCGCCCAGGGGCTGTGGAGCACCATTTAAAGTGGGGAGGCATGGGTGGGAGGGGGTCCAGTTCTGCCCCCGGGGGCTGGGAGGAGCCAGGGGAGGGCTGGAGAGCAAACCCACACTGCATTCACAGTACAGCAACTCCTGTTTTGCAGGGCTGGGCCCATAGGGCTCTTGCCCCAGCATGCAGGTGGGGCCTTCCCTACCCCAGTAAGGCCCTGCCCTCTTTCTGGCCCTGGCATCAGCAAATTACTTGCCCTGAGGTGGGCTGTGGCAGACCAAAAAGTAGCCAGATCATGACCCAGGGGACCGCATTCCCCCTTGCACACCCCAGCTCCATGGCCTGTGTGTGTGTCACATTGTCAAGCTACGGTGTCAGAAGAAAACTATCTTTGGCAAAAATTGAGCAAATAAAACCACCTGAATCTCCTGATTGGGAAGGGAACCTGGCTGAGAACCATTGAAGGTAGTTGCAGCTAGAACTAGGTGAAGTTTTTTTGGCTGAAACTTTTCTCAGTGAAATGTGCAATTCAGTGACACAAACATTTCATGAATGTTTATGGGGAGTACCTCTCAAACATGTGGGGCAGCACAGGAGAAAGAAGGAGGGTGTTTATCCAAAAATTTAACAAGTGGGCAGTGGAGGCTGACATCATGAGTCCATTGGAGGTCCATCAACACCTCATTTGTAAGTGAAAAATGGTAGGTGGTGTACAGAGGGACCCTTGAAAGGCCTTGCAAGTGAATACAAGCAGCTTATTGTTGATGCGATAGAGAAGGGAGAGCCAGTGGAAGGATGCAAAGAAAGGTGACATGGTCAAAGCAATGGATGAGGAAAATGATCTTTGCAGCAGCATTCTAAATGGATATAAGTGTGGCAAGGTTGCATTTGTCCCAGCCAGAGAGAAGGATGGTGCAGTAATCGAGATGTGAGATTATTTGAGCCTGGAGGAGAGAGAGTTTTAGTAATGAATAAGAAAGGCCGTATCTTAAAGATATCATGCAGAAAGAATCAACAAAAGATTTAGGGCATGCCTATGCTTCAAGCTGGAGGTGTAATTTCCTGTTCGAGAAGACATACCCACACTAGCTCTGATTGAGCGATCATACTAAAAATAGAGTTTACCAAAGGCAGCATGAGTGGCAGGGGAGGCCAGCCGCCCCAAATACACATCTTGGACAGGCGCATACTCAGGGCAGCTAGCACCTCGTGCCATTGTAGCTACACTCTATTTTTAGCATGTTAGGTTGATAAGAGCTAGCACAGGTATATCTACTCCAGCTAGAAATTATATCTCTACTTGAAGTGTAGGCATACCCTTAGACACAGCCGGACTGCAAGGACCTAGAGAGATGTTCAGGTCAAAGATGACACGTACATCATGGGTCTGAGTGACAGACAAGATGATGGTGTTGTCAGTGCTTAATTTGTGCCAAGACTTGCCAGGGCTGAGCCCCAGCACTCCTAGGCTTAGCAATTCCTAGCCCTGGCACCTCTAGGCTTGCTGCACCAGTTATTAATGTAAAAAAATTGCTTGAGCCCCAGCACCTAATTGCTTGAGCCCCGGCACCTCTTTCATTACAAATTAAGCTCTGGATGTTGCCCACAGTGATCGAGAAAGAAGGTAGTGAGAAAAACTTGGGGGAGGGAGGGAGGGCAGGGGAGATTAGGCGTTCTCTTTTAGCTATGTTGAGATGTCAGAGAGGCAGGCAGAGATTTTAGTGAGTCCAAGGTTGATGCAGATCTATTTGAATTAAACATAAAATTACCGTACTTCTGTTTAGTGAATTGCTTCTCACATTATTTTGAAATTAACCTCTTAGGGTTGGTCTACACTAGGGGGGATCGATCTAAGATACGCAACTTCAGCTACGTGAATAGTGTAGCTGAACTCGACGTATCTTAGATCGATTTACCTCGGGTCCTCACGGCGCGGGATCGACGGCCACGGCTCCCCCGTCAACTCCGCTACCGCCTCTCACTCTGGTGGAGTTCCGGAGTCGACGGGGAGCGCATTCAGGGATCTATTTATCACGTCTAGACGAGACGCGATGAATCGATCCCCGATAGATCGATCACTACCTGCCAATCCGGCGGGTAGTGAAGACGTACCCTTACAAACACACTGAATAGCTATACAGTGTGCTGGTCCATAGACCTGTAACATCCTTATGAATATCCCAGGGTTCCAATGGAACGCTGACAACAGCAGGCCTTCATTTACAGTTCAGCAGCTGCTGCAGCAGGTTAAAACTACTATTCTAGCTCTTCTGATGCTTGTGCACCTTCCATGTGGTGCATCAATACCGATAACCCAACAAAGGGCAAAGCTAGTCCTGGGGATCCCTCCTTAAAGTTACACCATGTTAGGATGAATACTCAAATAGCAGCTGAATTGCTGCCATCAAACCCCCTCACAAAATGTGGCTGTGGGGAAGCTATGTTCTGCAAAGCCCTTCTCCATCACTGGTAGAGTGAGGCTCATTTTCAATTCCCTACTTCAGAAAAGAAACAGAAATGTGATATGGGGAAATGTGGTAAAGTAAAACAAAACCCAGATGCTTAGCAGTAACAGATACAATTAAAGGAAAAAACCTATTAATCCACCTCTGTGAAACTAGGTTGCATTTTGTTCTTTAAAACATTGTATAGTTTAGCTTTTTTTGGTAAATTTAAACAGAGCCAAAATAAATACTTCTGATGAAATCAAACCTTTTGGGGGTTGGGCTTTTTTTGGGAGTGTGGGGAAGAGGTGTTGTTCTCTCTCTCTCTCTCTTTCCATATATTTATGTGGTTCCTGAACCAAAGTGGGCTGGAGAAGTTCAACCTCAGTTCAGAGAAGAGAACATTCTGTACTCTGCACAACAGGCAGGACTGCTGTAAAACAAGATCAACAACATGATCTCAGCAGCAGCACTACAATAGAGACACTTTCAATACTCAAACTGTCCAAAGGATTTCTCCATTTACATTTAAAAAAAAATCACACACAAGGATATGTGATCAAGGTCAGTGAATTAACTGACTTTCTGCCCTAGAACTAAGTTGTTACATTTCCTCCCCTCCTCCCCCAATGAATTTGGGAAGATTTTTTCCCCTCAGAGTTGAATCATAGCTGAAACATTTCCAAGGAAACAACCCCTCCTCCCTCCAAATTCCCTCACGGGTGCACTGCTCAGGGTTTGATTAAAGTAGTTCAATATTTTCTGCCAGTGGCACCTGAATGCTAGGTTTTTCAGCCAGATCCTTTGCTGATATAATCCCAGCAATTTCAGCGGGACTGCACAGGGTAAATCTGCAGATTCCACCCAGAATGTGCATTATACTGAAGCCAAAGTGTTGCCACTTTAATGCGGAAATGGCTCCATTTGCTGTTCTTTCTAAGCCTCCTCTAGGTGATAAACAGTATGACTTCATCTCTCAACCTGTTTACTGTTTAAGATGGTCAATAACAGAATCATTCACAAATTTGAAACGGGGGAGGAGTAAAGGGCAGCATAGATTTGAGGGGATGTTTTTGTCTGTGTATTAAGATCTGACCCGTATCTGTAAATCAATGATTCATTATTTCACAAGTCACTGGATCTAGCTGAGTTTTAAATATGGAAATGTGCAGATTTGAAATATAATCATCTGATCCATCTTTTCCTCTTTCAGATCCAATGCAAAGAGGCAGGGGAGAGTTTAAAGTCCACAAACATTCCACATTGATAAGAACTTTAAGATATATTCCTGCATAGTAACCCATCTCAAAACAATCTCAACACTGGACAGGGTGTCAGTAAAGCAGTCACTGTGGATTCCCACTGCCGGAGCTGTGAACAAAATCACTGGTGAAGAGGTGGCTGTTAGAGTAAGAGATAGGAGGCAAAAGGTCCTGCAGTGGTCATTCTAAAAAAAAGTGTGGAGCAGACAGTAACTGAAGTTGTCCAGTAAGGAAACAGCTTTGAGCATGGACCTGTTGTTTGTGCAGGGCATGAATCCAGAGCTTACTCTTGTGGTTTATGATGTCATCAGAATCCCTCTAGGCAATTACAGCCCATCACTCATCATCAGGGCTAGTTCAGACAATGGTGCCAAGCTTGTGTGTGATGGGGGGGGCCCAGGTCACAGGGATCCCCAGCCCAGCAGGTGCAGGTTGAAAGGCTTATGTGATGTTTATTGTTCATGCACCAATGCTGTCCTGGGGAGCATGAGCTCTTTCATTCAGATTAGAAGTTGTCAGGAAATAAATTGAGCCACTTGTGGCATCAGGATGTCTCCATCTTTGTCCCCGTCATGGCTGAGATACATTGCAGGTTCCCCCTTTCTCCTGTTTAACAGGAAATCGTTACTTCCCTAACACACACTCCTGTTCTGGACACATTATGTCCCCTGCCCATGGGACTGAAACCCCTATTAATTTGGCTTAAGAGTTTGAGGCAGGTTGGAGAGCAAAAATCATACAATGAATCATGGGCCTCAGAGCCAATGGGTCCAACTGAATAACTTAACAGATGACCCTCTGACTTAACTGAACTGGCCCTGATCCAGTACCTGTTTGTTCTCTATGCGTTACTTATTGTGCTATTTTTATAGCTATAGAGCTGTAAGCTGAAAACAAGCTGGATCACCACAGGATAAGATAGAAAGAACATAAGGAGCATTGAAAGTTTGCTATAGCATGGTACAGAGCCCTGGATGCAAATTCCTGCCACTTCCATATGTTCATCATGTGCTGCACCTAACATCACTGTCCACTTGAAATTGTCACCCACTTTGCTCTGATTCTCATCCATCTCTATCACTTTATGCAAATCCACAGAAAGACTCTGATCATTTTTAGATGGAAAAAAATCCTTCCCCTTTCCTTTCCTTATTTGCATGGATTAAAGTTCATATGCATGTTGCCAATGCATTAGTAACCAATTATTCATAATTAATCTCTGGGTGTAACCATGTTTTTATTTGATCTTCAAAAGAATGGATTGCACAAGGTTTTTTCCTTCATCTTTATTTTACACTGATAATATGCTGCCTCATTTCTACAGACACTTGTAAAATAGAGGGTTTTCTTCATATTTACATGTTGGGAAAAATAAATAAATAAATGAAAATAAAACCACTGAATACGTTTTCCTTAGAATGCTCTCTATTGTCTTCTTCACATAAAGTACATTTAAAAGTACAAATATTTACCCTGCCTAAATAAAAGGTTCTACACTGCCTGTGTGCGTGTGCAGCAAAGGGAATTTGCCAGACAGCTGTCAATATTCAGGACCTGTACACAGGCTGGTTTAGCATTTGTATAGCTATGAACATAAGAAACTTGTAGTCTTCAGAAACTCACCTCACCCTCCTGAGCTGTATGTGTGACACCTGGGAAAATCATTATCCAAAATTGATAATGGATTTCTCAGAAGAAAACTTCTCAGTTTTCCAATGTGCGTCTGGGTTTCAGCATTTCTAACAATATCATTACTTACATTCAGCCTTCCATTCCCAAAGCTCCCAAGGCATTTTATATGCTATACTCCAGAACTGTTTCACTCCTTAAATCCTAATGTCAGGTATATTAGAGGGATGTGAGGTAAGATGCAAAAGCAAGAGTTGATCAATGATGCAAGGTTTGCTGGAAAAAAATTGAGATTTTTGGAGGAACTTGAAGGAAAAGTGTGAGATAACCTGATGCACAAAAGGAGAAAGGGTAGGGATAGCACGCAGCCACAAAGGGGTTAATGGACAGACCAATTATTTTCCCAGCTGTGTTTCAGTGATGACTAGCAGCTGGGTTAAAAGGCTTCCACTCAGGCAGAGAGGGATGGTTGCCAGAGAGGCTGGGACTATCTCAAGAAGGTTCCCCAGCAGGAGCCTGGCACGGAAACACCCAAGGAAGAGATGCACAGGCCTGCCACAGGGAGAGGGGGGTGAGGCTCCTGAGAAATAGTAAAAAGGACATTTCTTTCCCTCCTACCGTCTAAGGGAGGGAGGGAGAAGGCCAGACTTCTGGAGGCCCACATCCGACCTTAGAGAGTTTATATAAGGACAAGGACTAGCCAGCAGAGACCCAGAAAGCTGGGAGACTATACTCTTAATGGTCTAGGGTATCAGAACAAACTCTTAGGAACAAGTCCCTTCACAGATAATCATTAATATAGACACAGAGTGACAAGTGGGAGAAAGGTTCTGCTAAAGTGGGCAGAGCTTAGCACGTGAGCAGAGGTGTAGTGGTGGGCAAGGACAGCACTATGCACAGACCTGAAAGTGAGGATGGGACATTTGGACTCGATGTGAATTGAAACAGGAAGTTAGCAGAAGGACTCCTGGACAGGAGTGACCTGTTTAGAATGGCAAGCAAGGAAGATTACTTGAACTGCAATGTGTTGAGTGGACTGAAGTAGGAAGAGATTGGGATACCTGAGAAGAGAAGGTCACAGTGCCCACCAGAGCAATATGGAGTCTGAGGGCCAAACTATTAGCAGTAAGAAGAAAGAAAATGACAGGTTTCAGAGTAGCAGCCGTGTTAGTCTGTATCCGCAAAAAG